ACGTATGCAACAGCCTCACCGACCGTTATCAAGATGCCCAACAACTTCTGTGCACCATTCCTGGCCAAGAGAGATTTTCAATAAGAAAACAAGAAATAAAAGGAAATTCACGTTCTCTTTTGAAATATTCAAACATAAGTTGGAATGCATTATTCCCTTTGCATTTAGGCTATCCTCCCTTTGCAGAGTTTTAAATAAACAGAGACAGGTGTGAACGAAAATCTTGAGGAACAATTATTCCATTCTCTAATTCTAGCTAAATAATGGTTAAAATTTCAAGGTTAAGTTTAACCACCAAGGTACAAGTCAACTATAGCACTTCACATGCAACAAACAAATGTCTTCAAGAACTCAGCAGAAATCACCAGCCAAACACCAACCCTTTATTCAAAACCCACTAAATTCACAAAATTAATCAAATATATGATGAGCAGAATAAGCCCGATCTACTTACAGGAGTGCACGATCCTCTCGCACATTGGTATCAACCTCAATGATCTTTGAACCGGCCACAGTTGCATAACCAGTCCAGAAATCACGATTGGGGTGATCCCAAGCTCCATCACAGTCCCCCTGTTTGAAGCCAGAATAACTCGCATCAAGTAGAATGGATCCGCGCTAGTCGTGGAGTGTATTCCATACAACGACAGCTGACTACAGACCAGGAAAATGAATAGGGATATCACAGTGTATATGACCTTCTCTCTGAATGGAACTTTACTGTCCGCACTCTGAACCTCGGGCAGGAACAAAAGAAAGGGCCGAACCAGATGAAGCACTCTAAACCCACCTCCCATTTTTCTTCGACTAAACTATTTCAAACTGCACGTCATACAATAAAAACGAACTCGCAGGATGATGAACAATGATTCAATGAAGACTCATTTCCAAGTGACTTTAGAAATTAAAACAATGCAATCAATCCGACCAATCACTTAATCGCTCGTCATTTCCAGCAACGTACTAGGGAAACTACCAATCTCAATCTAAAAAACATTACAACATAAATGGAAAAACGCGACAAATCCAGGCAATCAATTAAAAAATTTCATCATATTCAAAGAGATACAACTTACATCATGTGAAATCAAACCCAACTCATATATCATAACATGCAACTCAGTAATCGCCATCAAAACCAGTTAAATCGACGCAGATCAGCAAACAGGAGTTCAAATAAATCAGGTCACCGATACTTCAACAAATGAATGCAATTCACAGAAACAAAAAGCAGTGGTTAAATACCCGCAAGATCGAAACAAATCCAATACCATAAAAACCTCCAAAAACGGCACTGACTCATCGCAACTTGAGAAACCAAAATAAGAAAATTCAATATAGTAACAATCAGGTACAGAAACCATATCAAACATAGCAGATCTAAGTTCCGAGTGATATATATCCAAATAATTCCACCTCCTTTCCATTACTACAACTAGTACTGCCGCACGAGATGGTATATTTATCTGAATTTATTATATTTAAACATTAAATTTAATAGACTGTAGATATGTAACACATATATAATGAAAACAAACAAACATAAAACTTCATAAATTAGTAAACACTTCTTTATCCACAACGTTTTGGGTCTGATTTGGTGGCAAGTCATCGTCATTACAAACTAATATCTTCAACCCAATCCGATTGGTGACATGGGAGGCAGCAACATATATTTCGCCTTGACTGAACACCGACTTCTTAAGCAATAACCCAAAATGCGATAGCGATTGTCCCTGGCTCTTGTTGATAGACATGGCATACACAACCATAACGGGAAATTGTCGTCTCTGGAACTTGAAAGGGTTTCTGACATCAGAAGGAGTTATAGTCATTCTAGGAATCAACACATTCTCGCATTCATGATCCTCAGTGAGTATCTTACACTCAATAACATGTGCGGATAGTTTTGTCACAACCAACCGTGTCCCGTTACATAAACCTATAGAATGATCCATATTCCGCAACAACATGACGGGGGTTCCAATATTCAAATGCAGCTGATGATTAAGAATTCCCGAGCATTTGATGCTATTCAAGAACTCGGGCGTATGGAAATCAGAAAAAAAAATCATTATTTGTGTCGGACTTGCAAATACTGTCAGAGCTCGAGTACGTATTACCATCTGATAAATTCAACGATGTCATGTATTCATTGACGGATTGAACAACATCAAACATCAGTGCTAATATTGTCATGTCCTTCAAATAACTGGGATCATCGGTTGTCTGCTTAAACATTGGATACGTGCTTTCTACAATTTGAGCAATCGGATCATCGGATGGTTGAAGCAATATATCCTCAGGTATGTCAATCATTGCACAACCATCGTTTGACCCTCCTATAGTTTCATCACCAATGCTCGCAATCCATTCAGCAAACCGAGCAACCTCTTCACGTTCCTCGGAATCTCTAAGACTCTGTAGACGCATGTTCTTTGTAAGCCTGAGCACAGTACAACTCCCCAAATGTCAGAAGCATTAATTGCAACATTCACAATATCCTAACGGCTACCCTTCGGAATTACAGGAAGAATTTGTCGAAAATCTCCACCAAAAACAACTGATTTGCCTCCAAATGGTTTGTCTTTTTAGAAGGATCAGTTGCTCCCATAATATCTTGCAGCGATGCTTGTACAACTTCGAAACAATGTTTGTGCATCATTGGAGCCTCATCCCAGATTATCAAAGCACCCTTTGTTAATGGAGCCGAAACCTCCCTCTCCCAAGATGCTGTCCAGTCAGAAATTTTTCGTGGCTGACCTAAGATCGCTAAAGGTGAAGCATTTGAGGTTGGGCGACTACAAATTCTCGTCTTCTGTTCTGGGAGTCTGGGGCACGGATGTAGAGGACGTCTTTAGGCCCAAGTTATTTAAATTCATCTCTTCCGCACTCACCCTTTTAGATTAACCCATGCCTAAAAGTACATTATTCAACCTCAAAAGCTTCACCTCCTTAGTTTTCAATTCTCTGCTACGTGCACCTGCATCGAAGGTCTGAATACAGGAATCATGGCCTTGATCATATTTTTGGTCCAAAAGTAGTTGGTACCGTTGACTTTTTTCTGCATACTCCACAAAGTTGCACCGCGTTGAAATTTACTTCCGATTGTTTATCTACAAATTTAATTATAATGCGAATCAATTTGGAATATGATAAAGGAGGAGAAGTTTGGTCACTATGGTTACTTTACCAATATATCTATGCCTCCATATTGGTGGGAAATTATATGACTGACTGCCTTGTTCACCATTTTCCTGACAACACAAAGGTAGTCAATTATAACAACCATCTAAGACTCAGAACTTGCAGCAAAACATTATCAAGAAACCAATTTCCAATACAGAACCTCGAAACACTAATTATAAAATTGAGGTTACCAAAATGACTTCATTCAACAGAGAAACTGGAGGAATCGAAATAAAAATGCGATGGCGTTAGGTTTTCGAGCGGCGATGAAATTTTAGGTTTACCTTAGTGGTAAAAGAAGCACAGTTGCCGGAGAACGGGCCAGTGGAATTTACTGATAGATGCAGCGCCGATCGCTACTCTCCGTTGGCCTGTCACATATCCTTGATGTTGGCGCGCCGTGTCATCGCGCTGTCGGCCGACAACATATATGTGATACCGTCTTCGCCTATCCAAGCTGCCTGTCGTCGCGTCGTGTAGTTGCGCTGCCACCATCCGCCCAAAAGGCACCAGTTTTCGCCGCTCAGGAGCACGACCAATCGACAGAAAATATTGATGGATATCAGATAATGAGAAAGGACAGTAGAGTCGTGCAAAATGGCGTGTAAAGAAAGCAAAACTGATCTCAATCCCTGTCATAGCAGTAATTGTCATAGCAGAATTACTGTAATGACTCCAACAGTAACAACGAAGGGAAAAAATTAGTCAACTGTGATTTTCTCTGGGAAATGCATGGTCAGCAACATAAATGCAGGGGTAGAACTGTAAAAAGAGGGCCATTGCAAGGGTATATTTGTCATCTAAAAATCGCCACGTGTCAATCCTACAATTACTCATACTTTGTCTTATATGTATAAGAGAGAACTAGTTTAGCTCACGCGGTGCACGCACGGCGGACTAACACCCGGTGTAAAACTACAGTGAAATTTTGTCGTTAGTTGTTGCAGCTTCTATTCTAGCGTATGTTGCAGTTGTTCACATATATTGTGTCTTTTTTGTTTTTATGGAAATGTTTTAAGATTTTGCTCTTTTGAATTTCGTAGTAGTTTATGAGTTGAGATTGTTTAAATACGTGTATGTGCGCATGCATTCTCAAACTGAAATCGTGGTCAAAGTTACCTGCTTACGATTTTGTCTACTAATTCATAAACATTCTATGTGTTGCGAGTATTTTTTGTTTATGCTTTTATGCTGGAAATTGAATTTTAGATTGGGAGTGAATGTACGTTGGTCTTCGATCATTGATTAGAATTTTTTTATGTACTTGAAGGTTTATTGATTAGAATTTAGTCTAAAATATAGTAAAAATTTGTCATCACTTGTAATGAGCATTGGAATTCATTGCCAATTTGTACACTGCATGTTAAGAAAATAATCTTGCCATAAAGACCTCATTACATAGATTTTGTAAGCTCATATTTAGGCGGTTATTGCAGCTATTTACATATATTATGTATGGCAGCTATTTACATATATTATGTATGTTAAGTTGACATTGTCTGAAATTTTTTTCTCATATTATTGCTATTATCCCCTACTCATTTTCAAACAAGTATTAAGCGTCACAAATTAAATATATCCCAACCTACTATCACTTCATTTACCCAAAACTAAAATAGTCTTGTACAAGATTTTTGTATAAGCTTACAAGGTTTGTAATGGGTGGCAAAAAAAGTCTCTCTCTCT